TCAGAGGCATTTTCCTGAATCAGCCCACTTACTCTGCACGTGGCACATCAACAAGGATGTGGAAGCCAGAGCCTACAAACTATTTGGGAAGAGTAAAAAATTCTCGGAGATATTCACGCACAATAGGTGGAAGGCGATTGCAGAGGCCAGTACGTTCGTTGCCTACACCGATGCCGTTGCCGAGCTGTACGCAAAATATTCGAAGTCCCCAGAGGTGATACGGTATGTGGAGGGCACATGGTTAGGGCACCGCGAGAAGTTTGTGAAGGCTTGGACCAACCGAGTGACACATTTTGGAAACACAACTTCCTGTAAGGTGGAGAGTGCCCACTCTGTGTTGAAGGAGTGGCTTCAGACGTCCACCGACATGCTCGATACAATTTGGCAGAAGATTAATAAGCACATCGATAATCAAGTGACTGAAATCAAGTACGTACTGCAATTTTTAAATGCGTTATTATATTGCTGCATTAATTAATTATAATCTGACGTTATGTAACGTATTATCAGGACGACGCTTGAGGCCTCGAGATCTAAGAAGAATACACGGTATAAGGGAATCCTTTTCACGAGCATGATACTGAGGGCCTCGCATTACTGTCTGAGTTTGTTGGACGCTGAGCTTACGAGGATGCACGGCTTGGGCACCGATGTTTACACTAGCTGCGGCTGTGTATTGCAGCTCACTCATGGACTTCCTTGTGCCTGTCTGCTCCGTAACGCAATTGATTTCAACATTCCGATTGATCTCGGAATGATTCACCAGTTCCGGAGAACACTCCAGATATTAGAGCCAGGTAATTTAAGGTTAATGTTTTATTTATAATTTTCTATTAAAATACATTATTTGGTTTAATTCATTGATTTTTTTATCGTATACTTGTAGGGACTGGTCATCAGAGCCAGGCGAGCCACGCTGCATGGTCAGATGCAGAGTTCTTTCAGACGCTTGTGAATGAGGTTGAAACCCGCGATCCCACGACGATGCGGTACGTGAATCAGTTCATGTACAGTCATCTTTACCCAGACCAACAGGATTATGTGGAACCTGAGGTTAAGGATAACCCGCGAGGTCGTCCCAAGAAAACTAATTCAACTAAGCGTAAACCATCTGCTTTTGAGTACAACGATAGATCGCGAGGTCGAAAATCGAGTCGTACGACCACTTCTTCGCGTGGACAGACAAGTTCTCTTCTCAACAGTCACAAGGGGATGAAGGTCATACATTTTTTTTTTTAAATATGGTTGAGCGTTAATTAAAGTATTTATATAATTATATAAATTGTGACGTCAAATTATTATGATATTTATTGCAGAGTTTAGACCGACAAATATATTTGGATTTTCAATGTGGCAAAGTATCCCCTGACATATGTTGGACTACATAGTAAGTTATTTAAATGTGGATGCGGATGGAAACTGTGGATTTCGGGTCATCGCGAGTCACGTGTATGGTCACCAGAAGTACTGGGCAGATGCAAGAGAAAGCATTGCGAAGGAGGTCGACAGCCACCGTGAATTGTACGAGTACATCTATTTTAGAGATGTCAACGTCGGACTTCGTTGCATAAGGTGGGCCGACGGTCCTTGTGGACGGGTTCACTGGTTCGAAGTTCCGCAGGACCTCTACGCCGTTGCGACCCTATTTAATGCGGTTGTCGTTCATTTGAGCTCTGGTCCGCAAGGTGGGTAGCACGACTTATTCAGCACCACAGTGTTGCCTCCCAGTGCACGATCATCGGCTAGAGGACCATGTCGTGAGATGGCCATATGCCATCTTGGTGCCGTAGCACACTACATTCGTTTAGATTTGACTCCTGATTGTCCATTACCGCCTATTCATTCCATGTGGTTCCACAACCGAGATCAATCGGTTGTGGGTTGGGAGGATCAGTACGAGACTAGGTTGCGATTGTGGTTTACTGTTCAAAAAAATCCTTCTTGAATAAAAAAACGATATTATTCACTTGTAGTACGACGCTTCTCATTCAACTTAAGTTTAGCAAATAAAAAACAAAATGAAGAATTATTTATTTATATAAAAATAAAAAAAATTAAGTGGACAAAAATAAAAAATAAAAAAAGCAGGTCGACAAAAATAAAAAGCACGTACTTTAAGAATACGTTTTCAAGGGAAAAACGTATTCCTTACAACATATATGTATATACTATGTATTAAAAATACTATATACTATAAAAAAAACCATTCAACTTAATGTTTTACAAATAATAAAAAAAAAATCATTCAACTTAATGTTTTACAATAAAAAAAAAAAAAACATTCATTACATCATTATTGGGCATTGTCGTAATCCAACTTAAATTTAGCAAAATCTTCTTGGACTTCCGCCGCCTCTGGACATTCAACAAGGAACTGCTGCATGGTCGATGTAATGCCCAAAAGACGGTCCACCCACTAAAAAAATGAAAGAATAAAAAAATATGACTGAAATTTATTAAAATAAAATTGTTGTAATGAAATAACATTAATTAAAATTTAGTAACCAACTTACATAGGCGGTATTGACACGCGTTGGGACCTCATTCTCGTCCGGCAGCTCCTCGCCCATGAGAGTCGGATGGAAAACCCGACTGTACCACTGCAGGTAATCCTCAGTCGCCTCCCCGCGATCCTGTGTGGTGGGGGATCAACATACCGGTGTTGACCGTCCCAGAAATCGGGAACTGGGTTCAGGCGCCTAATGCAGCAGCCTCAGAATGCTCAACCTTGTAGTTCCTAGACTCCCAAGCACGTACTGCACTGATTGGCGGGTATGTAGCGGGAGGGACAGTCTGGACATACCCCAACTGAAGCAGACACCGCGCAGGCAAGTACGGCTCGACGACATCGCGGTATCGAATCAATCCGCTATAAAGAGTCCTCGGCTCTATCGCATCTGGGCTGGAGCTGCCGTATGGCAACCATTGCACCTGTTCACAATTGCATAAGAGCATTTATAAAAATAATTATATTATTTTAAATAATGGGTAACTAAATTTAAATAAAATAACTTCACGTACATCGGAGGCAGTGAGTCGATTGAGGCGCCGACGGATGGCTGTGAGTCGATCGTCTGACCGTGGCGCATTCCCTACGCTCCACGAGCGTGATCGTGCGAGACAGTCAGGACCGATGGGTAGACGCCCCCGGGGTCGGAAATCAAGGAAATACTCATATATCCAAGACTGCAGAAGAGTCAAGCAGCCCGACATCTGGGAAGAGTCCCCTCGGCTGGCAATACCTAGCTGTCTGTACATGTATGTCAACGTAGCCGATATTCATGAGTAACCCCCAATCAAATCCAAGCCATCGAGCACCTCGTGCAGGAGCTTGGGGGTTACTCTACTACCACTCTTGTCGACGAACAATGTGGTAGCCAGCATCACCCACATCCAGGCACCTGCCTCATCCCTAGCCGGCCGGCGTTTCCCCCTGAATGCCCCAGAAATGGCGGCTTCGGACACCGAACCACGCTGCCAGAACGAACTCCTAAGTTCGCCCTTGGTGACCGAAAGTATCGACATGCAGAGCCCATGGCAGGCGTCCGAATCCGGGTCCTCAGCGACTACGGCTCCCTCCACTGGAACGCCCAAAATGGCCCGGACGTCGTGCAGCATGATGCTCATTTCACCAAAAGGCAAGTGAAACGAGTTAGTATCCGGCTACCATCGCTCCACAAACGCAGAAATGAGCGGGGTGTCCAACTGGGTGTGCATGGAATCGGCCAAATGTGACAGCCCGGTCTGGTCGATAAGAGCTCTCGCATCGGAAGACATCTCTTCACGCCAAGCCTTCAGATTCTCGACCGCTCTCAGTCTGTTGTGGCATTTCAGCGGCCCCCTCAAATCTCCACTCCACATGCGGGAGGCGACGTGCCCTAGAAAGCTAGGGATGACACTCCCATCAATGGGCCCACCAGGCACTGGGCCTTTAACGATCCAGGGTGCATCATCATCGGTCCTAGCTCGTTTGCTAGTACCTGCATTAAAATACAACATATCTGTATATATTGACTTGCTGGCAGATGCATTAAATAAAATATATTTAATAAACATATTTCATAAGTTTCCCGTTCTTTTTTTTTTTTCAATTAATGTACAAACGTTACATTTTATATTAATAAAATATAATGAAAATTTTAAACTAATTTATTATGTAACATTACTACTACTTGATTATAACAATAATAAAAATAATTATAATAATTTTCTAACTAATTAATTGTATGGTTCTTCTAAATTACAAAATAAATATACCGTAGTTGAGGAGCAGGCCGATAATATTTTTCTAACAGTACCGATAATTTGTTATAATTATTATAAAAAAAAATTAAATAAAAACTGTCCGGCCGGCTCGTGACCGGCCGGCGGTCCGTCCAGAACCGGACATTTTTACGGCCGTCCGGTTCGGCCGACCGGACGGTTTTTCGGCCGTCCGGAATCGACGACCGGACGGACGGCGGCCGTCTGGAAACGACGGCCGAACGGCCGGACAGCTTCAAAATTTTAAAATTATTTCCGGCCTAAAAAAAAAAATTTACCTTGTTAGAGAACAATCCTTTGTCGAGGCCGTAGAATTTTTTCGACATTTTTTCGGATTTTTTTCGGTGCTCGAATCGCTCGTTGAAAGTTCGAGAATTTAGAGAGATAGAAAGTTTAGAGACATAGAATCTAAAAAAAAATTAAGAGCAAAAGAGTAAATGAGGAGGCGGTGACTAGTAAAAGGGCCGGTGAATAGCAATTGAATTTTTTCAAATGGGATTTGCTTTATTCAGAAAATATTGGCGTTGGCAATTCTTTTCGGACTCTTGTGTAAACTCCCTAACCCACCAAAGCTAAAATCATTTTTATAGTAAATACCTACGCGTGGTCGGAAAGTTTTGAAGCATTGATCAATATATGGTTATGTATGCAAAAAAGCATTTACTTAATTACCTAACTTTTAATTCCAGTGTAAGAGAATGAAATTCCTTGAACAAATAAAATATAAGGAGGGAGAGAGAGAGAGAGAGAGAGAGGAGTTGCAGAGGGAAGAGCGCTCCCAGCTGTTGGCCATTTATTGCCTTTGTTCCTAACGAGGAACTTCAAAGCACTATAAACTTAGTTAATTACTTTAATGCTGTTCGAAATGCATTTGCATTTCGCTATTTAGTTCCACATTTCGTGATATATTCACTCACACATACTCGTTGGTGGGTAGAATGTGGACTATTAGTTGAAGAGTGAAGACATCTTTTAGCTCTTCCTGGAAAAAAGGCCCTTTTTTTCTTTTCTTTTTCTTTTTTTTTTTCCTTCTTTCTGTCTTGCTGGGTACTATGGCGGAAGAGATTTGTTTCTTCACAAAGGTATTTCTCTTTTTCTTTTGTCTGCCTCTCGTTCAGCTTCTTATCCTTTCCCCCCCTTTTTTCAATAAACGCGTACTTTTGAAAGTCCTAGCTTTATTTTGTGGATAATTTTTGTTCTGCTTTTTGAGCTCAATGGAGCAAATAAGCTTGCTAGTTGTTACAAAGTGCGGAATTTTGTGGGTTTATTTGATGACATTATTCTAAGTTCAATAAAGCTCTGAATATCAGTCTGAATAGCCTTCTTTCAAGGGTTTTTTAGTTCATTCCTCTAGTCAGCTTGAAATTTGATTTGAATTCTTCAAATGGGTTGTTTTCTGTACTTCTCATGTCAAGAGATTTAATTAACATTTGCAAACTCTACGCTACTTTTAATCTCATTTATTTATATTTCTTTGTAATTTTTCTTCATTTAGTATAATGCCCTCGTTTCTGTAAAATGCCTATTGATTTCATTTGTTTAGAGGAATAAGTTGGACAAAAACTACCTTGAGCTAGCTTTAGCCTATTATTTTCTCAATTGAGAACAAATGTCATTCAAATTTTTTATTGAGTTTTATTTGGTGATGGTAGGAGAAAGCGAGGGTGAGATTTTATGACATCATAATGTATATTTTGAAATCTTGCATCTTGCAATATTTCCATTACTCAAATATGTGAATTCTTTGACAGGACACAATAATCATCAAAACTCCCAAGAAATCTTCTGCTTCATTGAGGATGTTGGTCTTAGTATTCACAATGGCTTGTGGCGTTTATATCTGTTCTATCTGCTTGAAGCAAACTAGTGCTCCAACTAATACTAAGCTTGTAAACCTCCAAGTTAGTCAGAGGCATTGTCAAGATAACAACATGAATTCATCTCACACTCCCTACTTACACTATCCGAATCCGACTTCATTCAGCAGGTAAATTGTTCTACTTTTGTTTGAAGGCTGATGAATTGCAAAATTTACCCATGAGTTTTAGTATATTGCAAAACAAACCTTTTCATAATATGAAAGTACATATACTTCCTTTAAATTGGTTTATCCTTGACAAATGTTATTCTCCAGTGTAATTTTGAAAGACAACTCACTCCTGTATTTTCTGTATTTAAATAAATTACAATCAAGCAAAACAAGTTAGCAGGCTTTTATTAGTGCAAAAAAATCCAGAGCAAGGGGGTTTAGTGTAATTTTTGCAATTGTTTGGTACTTAGGCTATGATCCAAACATTGTCTTATGGAAACAGGGCTGAATGTGGCTGTAATCCTGTGCGGTTTTTTGCCATTTTGTCGATGCAAAGATCGGGAAGCGGATGGTTTGAGACCCTTTTGAACAACCACACTAATGTGAGCTCGAATGGCGAGATATTTTCTCACAAGGAGAGGCGAAGCAATTTTTCATCAATTAGGTCAACTATGGATAGAGTTTACAACTTGGATTGGTTTAGTAGTGCCTCAAAGAATGATTGCTCAGCTGCAGTTGGCTTCAAATGGATGCTTAATCAGGTTAGATATGTGCTAAGAATTTGTATATAAACAATTGTAAATTTTATTATTGAAATATTTTTTACTTGGTTACAATTAACTCCAAAATATGGTATTTTTATATATAAGAAACACATTTTTAATTAACTCCTCTACTAATTAAGATGCATCTTCTCGTTGATGCGCCACATTGACTTACTTTTATGCATCATGTTGGTTATTGGGACTTGACCAGTATAAGAATTGACTTTAAACTTTTCAAAATGCATTCACTATAATTAATTTAGTTCAATAATTCGACACTTCCTCTTAAGCTAAATTGAATGGGTAGGTCTTGTGTTAAATCGGCCTAACCATTAGTTAGACATACTTTTTTCACAAATATAAATACTTTTATTGAAATATGTCATACTTTAAAAAAAATATCATAACAGAAATATGACAACGTATGACATTTGATAGTTTAAGTATATATTTTTGTTTATAGAGTGTTATGGGTTGACTGCCTAATGGTTAGTCTGCCTCATGCAAATATATATATATATATATATATATATATATATATATATATATATATTGCTAGCAAGGCATTAAATAAAACCTAATAAATTTTACCTATATTGCAATAATCCATCCTATATAAAATATTTCATTACACTTTCTTTTTGGGTTAGTTAAGACAAAAACTTATACTCCCTCCTTTTTTTAATGGATGTCGTTTGGAGAAGTTGCACACTAATTAAGAATATTTTTTTTGCCAATAATAACCCTCATTTATGAGGATAGAGATGGATGTTTTGAAAAAATATAAAGAGTGAATATGAAAAGACATAGTGTATTTATTAGCTAAATAGGGGTAATAATGGAAAAATATGTACAAAAGATCCAAAACGTCATTTATTTAGACAATTGTTGATAAAGCCAAAATGACATTTATAAAAAAAAGGAGGTAGTATTTTATATTAAATGAGTAATAATTATATTTTTTATTGAATAATATAATAGTTATACACTAAATGGTATATGAAAGTTACATAAACATAAAAGATTATATCGCAAAAACTTTTTGTTCAAGTTATTTATTCTAAAATCAATATTGTATTTTTTTTTTATTTGATTAAGTGGTTGTTTTTTAAATAAATTAATTTTTTTTAGTCATAGTAAAATTTACTTAAAATCGCATAAGTAATTGTTATAATAAACTTAATAATTTTCAGCTAATTAATTGGTCATGACCTCTCAAAATTACAAAAATTACATTATTTATTACATTTTATGCAATCAATATAGTGATTTGTATACAATCAAATCGTTATGTACTAATTATTTTAATCAATGATAAAATTTTAAAACATAATACTATTATCTAACTTATAATTTTAATATTATATGCATAAATATAACTTATAATACTCTTTGTTTAAAATATAATACTATTATCTAACTTATAATTTTAATAATATTTGCATACAAATAATTTATAATATTCATTTACATCTTTGCAAATGCACAAGGTCGAATACTAGTTGGAACTAATACCCGTGCGATGTATGGAATATGGTATAAAAACCACATTATTATAGAAATATTGTTAGATTATATAAAATAATATGTGAAGTATATTCGACACAATATAACAAGTTAGACTTTATTATATTTTTATTGTTTACTTTTACTTTTCCTATTTCTTTCTTTTTATTATATTCGACAAATATAGAGTTATTGTTAGATTATATAAAAAGCATTTCTTAAATTGCAGTTGGTGTGTACTTCAGAGATAATTTCAGTAACTTCTCTATAGGTTTTGACATAACCATGGGCAAAATATTTTTTGTATTTGACTTGGTGTTTTGCAAATGCAGGGTTTAATGGACCACCACAAGGAAATCAGTGACTATTTTAACACCAAGGGCGTATCCGTAATTTTTCTTTTCCGCAGAAATCTGCTCCGCCGGATGGTCTCTGTGCTCGCCAATTCTCATGATCGTTATGCTAAGCTCCTCAACGGAACCCACAAGTCACATGTACACTCGAATGAAGAGGTAAAAAAGCAAAGCACCGAACAAAAATGAATGAATTATATGCGCGTATGCTTACGAACATTCTTTTGGTCGAGTTTATTGTAGGCTAATACCCTCTCAAGTTATAAACCGATAATCAATTCAACATCGTTGTTGATGGATTTAAAGCTCATGGAGAAGATGGTTTTCGAGGCTCTACAGAATTTTAGCAAAACACGGAACATTGTCCTTTATTATGAAGACATCGTCAAAAATAGAACTGTGAGTTTCTTGTTGCTCTATTCTGAGTAGTGAAGTTGCTGTAATAAATTGCAACTGTGGTCAATGATCTCCTTAATCATGACCATGATTANGAGAAAAGACTTAACAATTGATCACTAACATAATATTTTGCCACAAACTGTCAGATGAGCTGATAATAAAATGAAACAAGCAAGTCTTTTTCTCTTGGAACTTGATGGGCTATATTTACTGTTACTTTATTTTAATGTTTTGCAGAAATTGATGGATGCTCTAGAGTTTCTAGATTTACCGAAAATGGAGCTAAGTAGTGGGCAGGTTAAGATACACAAAGGATCATTGTTTGAGCACATACAGAATTGGGAAGATGTAGTCAAGATTTTACAAGGAACGTCTTACGAGAGCTTCCTTCACACTGATTAATCTGTTGGCAAATGCTAATATGAGCAAACTAACCTTCTTCTAACATGAGCCGGTTATGTTTTTGAATTCACCCCTTTTTATCCTTTACTTACAAAATGTATAGGTCTTTAATTTATGTATTTGAGAGGGTCAAGGCAATGTGATATCGATATAGATGACATCGATTTATGAAGCCATTGACTAAAACGTATGCCTAGTTTTTAAAAATATTAGAGGTTCTTGAAACAATTGAATTGAAAGAATTAGAGGGAAAGGTTCGGAGGGAAAGTCAATCTTTATTATGAAGATGAACTGTCTTCTTGTTAACGGGCTGGGGATGTAATAGTGGAGGTTCTTGATATAATGAAATTGAAAGATTCTACAAGAAGGCTAGAATAGAATGCAATTGGATTATTATAATTATTATTATTATTATTATTATTATTATTATTTTGGCTCGCTTCTAAAGCCAGTTTGTTGGAAAGTATTATCTTGAGTCAATGATTTGTCTTATATTTTTGTATTTTTTTTATTTGTCTATATGATAAAGTTTTTAGATAATTATTATTTAGGGGACATGGTTGTGCAATGACAATTATGGTATGTCTGATTTATCTTATATTTTTTTTATTTGTCTATATGACAAAGTTTTAGATAATTATTATTTAGGGAACATGGTTGTGTAATCACAATTATGGTATGTCTTTAAAGTATAATTGTAAGCAAGTTCTTAGTCTTTTTTTTTCTCTTTAGCGGAACGACATAAATTTTATGGAAAAAACACAAATACATCTAGAAAATAGTTCGATAGTTGAATAAGACAATTTTAAAGCTATATCTAGTGGGACGACAGATCTAAAAATCACTTAGAATTTATACTAAAACAATACAAAACAAACACATCCACAAATAAAAAACAGAAATCTATCTTAACTTCACAATTGGAGAATAAAATTCTCCCACTGGAGAATAACACAAAACACAAAAAACGAAAGCACGAGAAAAACACGAACCCACAACACACAAACACAAAAGCCCACTACAAGCTCACTCTCGCTACAACGCAAAGGGAGTCGTTAGATCTCCCGAATGACAACCAGGACGGGGTTGGGACCACACGGTTCATACAATAATGAAGTAGGATTGTCATACAACTATACTATATTTCAATATGAATTGATTACTCATATAACAAGTAACATTACCTGCTCATGATCCAATCTTTCATTTTTTTTAACAGCAAGCGTATCTACAATGTTTACTTTCCAACACACGTGCAATCGAAATATGTTATTCACATTGTCATCATTAGGCAAACTCACTTTTTTTTTCATGGGCCGGAATGTAGCATAAGATAAATAATTGTGAATTTACATCAGACCACCTCTTACCAACAAGGTGTACATTTATTCAAGACTCAACCTGACGCGTATAGAGAAGACAAACAATTCATTATTGTAGGAACAACTCCCTAACAATAATATAAAATTTCAAATGAGTTGGATGAAATGAACCATTAAAGTTCTCGGCTCAAACTAATATCAAATACCGATAAAAGAGGTACTTTGAGGTGCTATACTACTCAAATAAAGGTACCATAAGCATGCATAAGTGGTATAGTGACCATGTGCGAGAAAAAACACAAAATCTAACATAAATGATTGATAGATATGAACAACAACAAAGAGATTACTGCTAGTTTCTCTATTTTAGAATGAATATGAAGAATATTAATATTCAAAATTAATTTTTGAACAAAATATGAAGAACAAGATTTTAGGAAAATAATTATAAGTAAAATACGACTTCAGGCTCCTCATTAAATACACATAGACATATCACTTTTTTTTGTAGAAAAACAGTGAGTTAGGAGCTCACTAGAAAATCCGCCTTTCGTTGGAGTTTGTCACGTCTTTCGATCGAGTTCTTCTCGATTGTCTGTTGCCAAAAATTTTTCCGCTAGACGTTCGCTGGAATTATTCTTGTAGCCAAAGTACGTGCAACAAAAAAGGAAACAAATGAGAAGGGGAAGAATTGATGGGAGAGAGAAAGAGTAGAAGATGAAATAAAAGTAAAGTAATAAAAATTTATGTGGAAAGAGAGAGAGGAAAATAATAGAAAATTAGGGAAAGTTAGTAGTGGGGGTTGATGTGACATTTTTAAGGAGTTAAGTGGAAAACACTATTATAATTGGGGAGTACAATGGGAAAAGTAAAACATAAGGATAGATTGAGAAATTGAAAAGAGATTTGGAGAAATTCTATGGCGCCCATATGGGCACCATATGGTACCATAATCTTCACGATCTAACGCCTAATATTCATTGTGGAATTGATAGAATGGATATTAGGCGTTGGATCGTGAGATTATGGCACTATATGGTGCCCATATGGGCGCCATAGAATTTCTGAGAGATTTGTGGATTTACTGGGGAAAAACCATTCTTGGGAAAAACCATTCTTTTTATAAGGCAATCCGACGGTTTTGCTATGAAGCCAACAGTTGGCTCCATAGTGGAGCCAACTTTCTATATACAACAAATAAACCTAACCATATAATAAAATTATATTAATGTTCTTTAAATAATCAGAGAATATAGTAGGTCTATTTGTTGTATATAAAAAGGTTGGCTCTACTATGGAGGCAACTGTTGTCTTCATAGCAAAACCGGGCAATCCGATATATGTTATACTTACTATTGATAATTGTGACTGACACAGTGCATTAATCGAAGCCAATCTAGTTGATTTTATAAGGGCGCGTTTCAATATGAATCATAACCGATTTTAATTATTCTGACCGATTAAGTTATATTGTTTTCAATCACCATACTTAAAATTCAACTCAATCCATCTTTTCTATTTTTTTTATAAATATAATTAAATTATTATATTAATCAATCATCCTCACACAAATCACATTAACATAAAATTTATCCACTTTAGCCAACTAATTATCCACTCTATATAATTTTATCCACACTAACATAAATTCACTATTTATCCACTCTATATAATTTTACCTACCTATCAGTTCCAATAATATCTCACTTTTGCATCACATAAATTTTAATTAGATTTCGTCCAACTGCTCTATGGAATAATTGTTTTCTAAGCTTTCTACCACGTCTTGAAGTCTGTAAGGTGCGAGAGGGCGCATGTGCTCCTCCTTCCTTAATTTCTTAATAAGATGGCCCAATTCGTTTTCACGAGTAGTAGTAACCCAATCAGTGATCCAGTAAGAATCAGAAATAATGTTTTTATGCCCAATTCGTTTTCACGAGTAGTAGTAACCCAATCAGTGATCCAGTCAGAATCAGAAATAATGTTTTGGGACATTTTCATCTATCCTACAAGATTTTAAAAATATTGCAAAAATACAATTCATAAACAAATAATTACATCTCTACCTAATATGTAATACATAACTACATTAATGCCTAAAGTAAGTTACCATATCCATTCAACTTTCATCCCCCTTTTTGTGGGCTTGATTAAGAGAGAGAAATGAAAAATAATAACTGAGTCATTTAATTCCTTAATTCACGCAGTTTGTACATTTGTAATTCACGCAGCCGTCAGGTGGTATATTTTGCGTTTATGTTGGTATATATTCAGTATATGTTACAATGAAGAACATGTCGTCCATCAAAAAATTATGTCTTCTTTATTTTTTTTTTATTTTTTTTTACTTTTAGACATAAAAGTATATATAAACATATTATAGCAGTTACTGATATTCCATATACAAACAAATATACTGCAAATATACTGTACATATATACCCGTCGAACGTCTTCCTGTTAATGCCATGAGAAAATATACCGAAAAGATATTGATAATATACCGAAAATTTTTAACTTTTACATACTATTGAACGTCTTCCTATTAATGTCATGGGAAAAAATACTGAAAATATACCGAGTATAAACCATACATATACAAAAAAAAAATCATCAGTTTATGCTTTGTCAATATAAACTATACATACAAATAAGGTAGCCCTTATATTATACAGAACATATACTCTATATATACATAACATATACCCGATTAATTCAATCTTCTTCCTTCTCATCCCAAACACGCCTCTCATCTCAAATCTTCTTCCTTCTCCAAAGATTCTCGTTCCTTCGCAGCTTTCTTCTTCGTGTGCGTCCTTCTCCATCAATCGTCTTCATCCTTCTCCACTGACGCGTGACTCTTCCCAGCGGGTGGCAAATTCAGGCCTGTTTTTTTTCCCATATTAAACCTTCTAGCGAAAACCTTCTCAAACCACTTCAAATTAATCTCATAAACTGATTCCAAAAAAAAAAAAAACTCAAACCTTATTTTTCTAGTTAAGTCCTGGCAAGAAACTCCAGTCAACCAATGGCAGTTAAGAAGAAGGTGAGATCATGGCAGGATTGCTTTTCGGGCTGCTTCAGGCCCGAAAGCCTTCCTTCAGGAGGATTTCATTGTCGGATTTCAGCAGCTCGAATATATCAGAAGATTTATCGGTTTCCTTAGCGGGCTCGAATTTGCAAGTGTTTCCAGCGAGTAGCAATCCTTTCCGATCCGACCTTCGCCGTCGCGCCTGTTCCGGTCACCGGCCACCGGCGACAAGAAGCAGCAAATAGCAACTCGGGCCAATGAAAGATCCGGCTCCTCCTCCTCCGAACAGATCTGAAAGGGAAGAGGTGGTTTGGGAGGGATCGTGCTTTTGTGAAAAATCTTATTTTGTTTAGGATTAATTTGTAGCTGATTTGTTGCAAAAATTAAGGAGAAAAGATCTTAATTAAAAACATTCCATGTTTGATATGTTGACTTTGGAAAATTAAACATTAGGTATATGTGTAATTATTTTGTATTGAAGTTGCATTTAAATAAAAAAAAACTAATGAGTGTTAAATATGCAATATAATTATTATATGAACGTGCAGGGTGTAAATTCCTCTAATGTTTTTATGTCGCTTTACCCGATCGACATCGTCCCACACAGAATCTTGGCTAATCTCTAATGGACGTTTCCCAATTTCAGTGTCAGAAGCATATTTCTATATGGAGCCTCAAGCATTATCGAAATTATTATTTAATTATAAACTCAAAATCATCCACAATCAACTATATTCAATATAACCCACTTTAGCCAACTAAATTGAATTATAACCGGTTAATTCTTATCAAATCACGCTCGGATTCTTATCCAATAATTCATATCCAGCCACGCCCAAGTGTCTGATCTGGCACACAGTGGATTATTCACGCCCGCACACAGATAAGAGCAACAGGCAATCACGGACACGAGGCTATGGAAAAGCCTTTTCGCCAAATATAGCCCACCCAACACGGGAAACTTTTACAATTACAAGATAGAAAACCGCAAAAATGGAATTAAAAACTAAATTCTACATAGTAACTGCAGATGCTACATGACAATCTACCCCTGCAGACAGACAGTCCACTTTTTCCACATCAGTCACAAACGGAAGATAACAGAAATAGAACATATCAGAATTCAATTGATGTATCCAATTTAATTTTCAACACAAAATCCCGGCAAAAAAATAATATTTTACCATTTTGATGTATTACAGCAGCATCAACAATATCGAGCACACTCTACTTTCACCCTGAACTCCCTTCCGCACACAACAACTCACATTCACTTCCACTATCCTTCACACACAGAGGAATCCTCACCCCAAGCCCCCTAAGCTTCTCGACCAACTCGTAAAGAAACTCAAACGTGAGCTTCGACTGTGAATTAAGCTCGTCCCTAACCTCCGGGCAAACCCTAAACCACTCTCCCAACATCTTGTGCACGTGAGACCTCACCATCCTCCACGGGACTGAGTACACCTCGCAAAACCTCAAGTATTCAACTGCTAAATCCGCCAAATCCAAATCCCCGTTTTTAAACCCCTCACCTGAAACCCACTCTCCAGTCCGAAAGCCCGCGAACAAAGCAGGATTCTCGAGTAACGACTCTGCCGAGAGAACCCCTTCACAGCCAGTCTCCTCCAGACATTGGTATGCGTCTGCCAGGTGGCGCACATTGCCATTGGCCAGGACGGGGATTTTTAAGGCATCACGAACGGCTTTTATAGCTTGCCAGCTGGCACGGAATTTCTTTCCGTCTTTTTCGTCCCGTGTTCGTCCGTGCACGGCCAGGAGAGAGCAGCCAGCGTCCTCGAGCATTTTGGCGTATTTGATGGTGTCCTCGAGATTTGGAAAGATCCTGATTTTGCATGAGACGGGCACGTTTAGGTTGTGCGCGAGTTTCTCGACTAGGGATTTGACGAGAGGGAGGTTGTCCATGAGAAAAGCACCATAGTTGCCTCTTCTTGCTATACGCTGAGGACACCTGAATGACAAGTATGAATATATAAAAAGAGTCGATGAAGAATTTTGAAATTCTCAATCTTATTGGCATGGATTTAATCATGCTATTTTTCAGGTAATTAAGAAGACATGTGGAGTTGTGGGATTGGAGGAAAAATAAATTGTAAATCTTTGTGATGTTTGGAGAAAAATTAATCGTAATTTGTTGTGAAATTTGGATTATGTGCTACATATATCAGCTAGCTTGGAGCAAGGAAGGACTATGGAGAATAAGGGAAAATGAAAAGGAGGCAAAATCTTGAAATTTGGGATGAAGATTATGAAGCAGTGTGGAAAATCAGAAGGTAATGGAATAGGATATTTAGGGTGGGTCTGGATATATTTTCAATATCATTGGACTTGTTTGGATGTTAGCGGATTAATGTAAAATTAACAGACTAAATTTTGTTTAGAGGTTTGACTTGTCAAATATGCTAACTTTTTTGTTTTTGATACGTTGAGTAATTTTTTCAGCCCAAACCGCTAAATTCGAAAGAACTCAATATAGGATCGTTTTGAGAAAAGGGAATTTGTAGAATAAGATGTCAACATGAGATTTTCAAAGTAGTATATTTACGAAACAATTATTTACGAACCGCTAATACAATCTACTAGTCAAATCATATATTACAATCAGTTACCCGCTAATGGCAAAACAAGGTAATCATTCTTTCACCCAATGATAAAAGTTACACTATTCATCCATCTCATTTCACTATTCTTCCCTAAAAGTTTTCAATGGGAAATTTGAATAAAAAATAATCATTACTCGTTTGTTTCCTTATTGTCGTTATAACTTAAAACTCTTGAACTCCAATGTTATTGGGTAATTGGGTAGGATAATTTATATGATATATATTTGCCTTAGATTAGTATCAAACATTGAATCAAATATCTTCTTCTCATGTGTACTTGTTTGACTTGATGTGAAGGTTTTGCTCTCTCAACTCCACTAGATTAGAATCAAATATTTTCTTCTCATGTGTTTATAACTTTCACATCAATAAGTATCAATTATCAGAGTAAAATTGAAAAAAAAAAATAATTAAAATATATTCAACAACTATTAATTAGCAAAAAGATATGCAACCTACAACGACATTTGAAATGGAGGGAGCACTACACATACTATAAATTCTACCATTTACCCACTCACAATTTTATAGCTACCAATCATTTTTATACTATTTGTATATGACATCACAATTAAATTATATCACTTGTACATTACACTGAAATAATTATTAATTCTTCCACCAAATAAAACATTTCACTTAAATGAAAATATATCCAATCGGACTTAATTTATAAATATGAAGTCGAAGGTTGGTAACAACAACAGTGCAGGTAAGTTTATGAACAAGACCACAAATGGCAATTTATTGGTGCATTTGTTAGTTTGGCACTAAGTGCTGCCCCAGTAGCTAGAGAATCTATCACTACCTAAAACATCACTACCCAGAAAGTATCAAATAAATGAAGTAGAGAACTCATGCGAGGAATAAATATTCATTTTTTGTAATATTTGCACGACATTTTCAGCAGTACACATAAGTAACATAACTGGAAAACCAAAGATGACAGGGGGAGGGGGGAAGAGAATAAATATGCAAGATAAGAGAACGACAGAATCAATACTTTGGACAAACATTCGAATTATCTTCAGGTTTTGCAAGGTTTAATTTTTATGTTTAAATTCTCGACATTGAAACACAACGGGAGTCAGAAGCAGTAACAAGTGGAAAGATATTCCCTTAACCAAGGTCCAAACAAGAAACCTGCCTATAGACCAATTCTGCAAGAACACACTAAACTTGAAAACAATATATATACTGTATCAGTCAGCAGTTACCCTAAATTAATGTCCACGTAGTCGCAGAATGGCTCAACTCTGCGTGCTGCCTCCAGCAAGATGTCCGGATCATTTGCACAGAATTGCACAAACAGCGGCCTATCCTCCTGTCATTTTCCAGCAATACACATTCAGCATAAAATAAAATCCATCAATCCAAAATTGACGAAAAAAAAAAAAACCTTAAAAAGTTCTTCACCTTACATGTGGTGAATTCCTGGGACCTGTATTTTTCGTTCTCGCTGAAAATCCTGGCATGCAGCATGGGCGTGTAAGCCGCCTGAGCGCCGTACTTACGGCAAAGCATCCGGAAAGGCAGTTCGGAGTTGTCGACCATGGGGGCAACGATGAGTTTGGGCCGACCCAACTTGTTCCAGTGGGCCCAGGCCATCTCGATGCGGACCTCCCCGGTTAGATACCCGTTCGGACGGCCAAGAGAAACTGCTTCGAGCTCGGAGAGAGGAACAGTATTTTCGGCGGAGCATAGAACGTCGTCGTTGCTACTTTTGTCGCCATCTGCTGGAAGCGTTTGCGAGCAGAGGGGTTGGGTTTGGGAAGCCATGAAAGGATTGAAGAGAGGAAACAATGTCTCCACGTTCGGGCTACGACGTCGTATGAGGTGGAGCACCAATGGTTTGAATCTCATTGGAAGGATGATGAGAGGCGGCGATGGCGGGGATTTCACCCATCGCCAGTTAGGGTTTCAGTTGGAAATTTTGAGGCAGATTATTAATTTGGGGATTTAGTTGGAAAAGGAAAAAAAATAAAAATATTGGAACTAAAAAGCGCTTGGATAAATTAAAAAATAAATCCAATTTTCGTCCCTACGTAAATGGGAAACTTGGAGGTAAGAATATTTGTCTTGTTTGGATTTTTTGTTTTTATTTGAATTTTTTGGTAAAGAGTGTATGGTTAGTAGGGAGTGTGATTTTTAATTTATATTAAAATAATATTTAAAATAGAATAATTAAAATAAATTTGATGTAAAAGTATGAAATAAATAATAAGGGGAGATGTTATGGTCGTTACGGAACTATTCCGTCGGGGTTCGTAACCATTAGATCAACTATTCTCGACGGTTACATGATGATCTAACGGTTACAGACCCTGATGGAATGGTTCCCTAACGGGACCGTAGCATTTCTCAATAATAAGTGATGATTAATTAAAATTATTTGAGTGGATGAATAAGAATTTAAAGTTGATGTAATGTGTAATAATGATGGATTTGTTTTATTTAATCATATCAAATGTATATTTATTTCAAAAGGATTATATATTTAGTTCATATCAAATGCATATTTAGTTCATATCAATTTATCAAGTGCATACTGCTGTATTTAATTCATACATAATACATAGTACGGTTAACGGTCGCCGAAAGTCATCGGTCAACGATCAACGATCAAATGCTTTAAATATTATTGAGATAGTTAAAATAAAAAATAAAATAAAAAGTTAAATCTTAAACACACATCTTAATCTCTAATTAATTACTTATAATTGAGTCTCACATACTCACTGTAAATATGTGGAATCATTGGAACCAATCCATATCACTACTATCTTATATGAAATTGTTTGTGGCATTGTATGTAGGGGTGAGCATAGTGCGATTCGGTGCAAAAACCGAAACGCACCGCAAAAAATCGCACACCGAAATTTTGGAACTTCTTAACCGAACCGAACCGCAAGAGAATGAAAAACCGAACCAAAATTTTTCAGTTAACCGCAACTAAGAAAACAATTAAAACAAATTAAAGATCAAATCTACTAGACTTAAACATCGCATTACAAAACACAACCACCACAGGTCCTAATATAGGATATTATATACTAGGCCAGTCCTAATGGATAAGAGAGGAATATATTAAAGAATATGCCTACACATGGCTAGGACACGTGGCACGACGCTATTGGACAAACCCAATTTGGGCCATAAGGTACACTCCCCCTATAAAAGGGGGCTAAGGTATTCCATTCTCACATTCTCTCTACATTCATAATTATACTCTTCAGATTTGGAGTGATTCTGACTTGAGCGTCGGAGGCCCGACGCCGGGACCCCTCCCGGAGTTGGGTTCTTGCAGGTCCGGTGGCCGTTCGAGTTGAAGGAGCCCGGTGAATCTTATTCACTTCAATATACAAGCAGCACTTTTAGTCTTTTACTTTTACATTTAAAACTTAAAATAAAGTCTAACTCCTGAAGTCCTAATTTTCACTCTCATTTCAACTTTCGTCTCTCAAGCTCTCTAAACCCCACAGCCCGTTTTCAACTTTCGAAGTTCTCATTTTCACTCTCGCTTCAACCCTGCTCCGCCGCTCTGAACCCCCCGCTCTCACCCTCCAGAGTTCTCGACCCTGCTCTCACCCTCCGGCGATCTCGACCTCGCTCTCAGTCTCTCACCCTCCGGGCTCGCTCGTCCTTCTGCCGGCTTCGTCAATTTAGGTCATCTCTCACTCTCTCAATTTTTTTTCATTTCTCATTTCGATTCGTCCTCTTTCTTCAGTTTTTGTTATTGGATGCTTAATTTCTAAGAATCAGTTGTAAATGTTCAAACAATTAATTTTTTTCCCTAATTAATTTCAGCCCCAATTTCGAAATTCTTTTTGTATGTATAATATTGTTAGTGGAAAGGTAATATGATATTCTTACTGTTGTTTAGAACTTTGTTATTGAAGAGATGGCGGATGATTCACCAACAGGAGGTCCACCATCGACGAATGCATCATCGGCTGCAAGTCAGACATCAAAATTGAAGAGGAGCCGTCCGGAGAGTTCAAGTGCTGCAGCTGATGCTACTGTAGGTACCGGGATTGCAGGGGACGGTAAAAATACGCGAAGGTCGATAGTTTGGCATCACTTCACACAGATTGTGGTCGAAGGTATATCCAGAGCCGAATACAACCATTGCCATAAAACGTATAAATGTAATACTCGAAGGAATGGTACGTCTGTACTTCTTCACCATATGTCGGTTTGTAAAGCTCATCCAAATGTGACCGAAAAAAAACAATCGAAATTGAATTTGCAATCAATAGCAGAGGGTGATGAAATGGTAGGAAGTTTAACTAGCTGGAAATTTGATCAAGAAGCCATTAAGTCAAAACTAGCTAGAATGGTCATTATTGATGAACTTCCATTTCTGTTTGTGGAAGGTGATGGATTCAAAAACTTCATGTCGGTTACACAGCCTTGGTTTAAAATACCCTCTCGTTGGACTTTGTCACGAGATTGTTATCAGTTATACCTAGATGAGAAGTTAAAATTAAAAAATTACTTCAAAAGGTATGGTAAAACAATTTCTATTACCAGAGATACTTGGACTTTCGTGCAAAAGATTAATTATATGTGTATCACTGCCCACTACATTGATGAAGAATGGAGCTTAAATAAAAAGATCATCAATTTTTGTCCCAGTGAGAGTCACAAGGGTGAGGATTTAGGAAGACAAATAGATGGTTGTTTGCGTGATTGGGGAATCTCAATGGTGTTTTCTATTACAGTTGATAATGCGTCTTCTAATGATACTTGTCTTACATATTTGAAAAGTAGATTGACCTCTCGGGGTTGTGCTTTTGTTAAAGGCAAGTTATATTCATATGAGGTGTATTGCTCATATTATTAATTTGGTAATGGTGGGTGGAATAAATGAAATCAAGTATTCCCTTAAGAAGATTCGTCATGCGGTTCGATTTGTGAAACAATCTTCGGCTAGATTGGCGAAATTTCGAGAATGTTGTAATGATGAAGGTATTGTGAGTAAAATCTTGTTATGCTTAGATGTGAGCACTAGGTGGAACTCCACTTACTTGATGTTGAATGTTGCACAAGTTTGAGAGGGCATTTGAGGGGTATGAAATAAAAGATCCTTACTTTAATCTAGAGCTCAAGCATGGACCACCGTCAATTGTTGATTGGGCAAACGCTAGAAGGATGGTTGATGTTTTATCCCACTTCCACGAGCTAACATTGAGGAATTCGGGCACATCTTATGTCTCTTCAAATGAATTTTATCATAAATTAGCTCGGTGAATTGCTTGTTAAGAGAATGGATTGCTAGCAATGATCTTGATATCAAAGTAATGGGTGAAAAAATGAAATCAAAATACAATAAATATTGGTGGAATTCGAAAAATGTGAATCATCCATTTATGTGGCGGTTTTTGTTGATCGTCGCTAAAAGTTGGAGTTCCTTGTGTACGCACTTTGTGAAGAGCATGGAGAAAATAACGGTTCGGAGATCTTCAAGAGTGTGAAAGGGAGTGTTCAACTTATAAGATCTCCGAATCGTTCTTTTCTCCATGCTCTTCACAAAGTGCGTAAGGAACTCCAACTTGTAGTGACGATCAACAAAAACCGCCACAAAAATAAGATGATTCACATTTTTTGGATTCCACCAATATTTATTGTATTTTGATTTCATTTTTTCACCCATTGCTTTGATATCAAGATCATTGCTAGCAATCAATTCTCTTAACAAGCAATTCACCGAGCTAATTTCATGATAAAATTCATTTGAAGAGACATAAGATGTGCCCAAATTCCTCAATGTTAGCTCGTGAAATGGGATAGAACATCAACCATCCTTCTAGCATTTTCCCAATCAACAATTGACGGTGGTCCATGCTTGAGCTCTAGTTCAACATAAGGATCTTTTATTCATACCTCTCAAATGCCCTCTCAAACTTTTATGCAACTTTCAACATCAAGTAAGTGGAGTTCCACCTAATGCTCACATCTAAGCATAACAAGATTTTACTCACAATACCTTCATCATTACAACACTCTCGAAATTTCGCCAATCTAGCCGGAGATTGTTTCACAAATCGAACCGCATGATGAATCTTTTTAATGGAATACTTGATTTCATTTATCTCATCCACCACTACCAAATTAATAATATGATCAATGTTCCTCATATGAAGAAACTTGCCTTTAACAAAAGCACAACCCCGAGAAGTCAATCTACTTTTCAAATATGTAAGACAAGTATCATTAAAAGACGCAGTATCAACTTTAATAGAAAACACCTTTGATATTACCCAATCACACAAACAACCATCTATTTGTTTTCCTAAATCCTCACCCTTGTGACTCTCAATGGGACAAAAGTTGATGATCATTTTATTTTAGCTCCATTCTTCATCAATGTAGTGGGAAGTGATACACATATAATCAATCTTTTGTACGGAAGTCCAAGTATCTATAGTAATAGAAATTGTCTTTCCATACCTTTTGAAGTAATTTCTTAATTTTAACTTCTCATCTAGGTATAACTGATAACAATCTCGAGACAAAGTTCAACGAGAGGGTATTTTAAACCTAGGTTGTGTAATCGACATGAAGACTTTGTATCCATCACCTTCCACAAACCGAAATGGAAGCTCATCAATAATGACCATTCTAGCTAGTTCTGACCTAATGGCTTCTTGATCAAATTTCCAGCTAGTTAGACTTCCTACCACTTCATCACCCTCAGCTATTGATTGCAAATTCAATTTCAGTTGTTTTTTTTTTTTTGTCACATTTTGATGAGCTTTACAAACCGACATATAGTGAAGAAGTGCAGACCTACCATTCCTTCGAGTATAACATTTATACATTTTATGGCAATGGTTGCATTCGGCTCTGGATATACCTTCAACCAGAATCTGTGTGAAGTGATCCTTAACTATCGACCTTCTCGTATATTTACCGTCCCCTGCAATCCCAGTACATGCAGTAGCATCAGCTGCAACACTTGAACTCCCCGGACAGCTCCTCTTCAATTTTGATGTCTGACTTGCAGCCGATGCGTCATTCGTCGATGGTGGACCTCCTGTTGGTGAATCATCCGCCATATGTTTAATAACAAAGTTCTAAACAATATCAAACAACAGTAAGAATATCATATTACATTTCCACTGACAATATTATACATACAAAAAGAATTTTGAAATTGGGGCTAAAATTAATCAGGGAAAAAATTAATTGTTTAAACATTTACATCTGATTCTAAAAAATTAAGCATTCAATAAGCAAAACTAAAAAAAGATGACGAATCGAAATGAGAGAAGGAAAAAAAATCGAGAGAGTGAGAGACGACCTAAATTGACGAAGCTGGTGGAATGACGAGCGAGCCTAGAGGGTGAGAGACTGAGAGCGAGGTCGAGATCGCCGGAGGGTGAGAGCAGGGTCGAGAACTCCGAAGGGTGAGAGCGGGGTGTTCAGAGCGACGGAGCAGGGCTGAAACGAGAGTGAAAATGAGAACTTCGAGAGTTGAAAACGGGCTGCGGGGTTTAGAGAGCTAGAGAGAGGAGAGTTCAAATGAGTGAAAATTAGGGCTTCAAGAGTTAAACTTGAGAGTTAGACTTTATTTTAAGTTTTAAATGTAAAATTAAAAGACTAAAAGTGCTGCTTCTATGTGTAAAAGTGTAAAAACTAAATGACATATGACATTCAGTGCGGTTCGATTAAAACCGCACCCTTCGGACTGAAAACCGAACCGCACCGAACTTTTTGCGTTTTTCCAAAATTCAAACCGCACCATTAACCGAGCTCTTCAAAAACCGCACCAAACATCTTGGTTTTCGGTTTTTCGGTTTCGGCTCAATTTTTGCTCACCCCTAATTGTATGGGTGATACATGGCAGGGGCTTCAAGTACTAAAATGCCCACAAAAATTATTGTATTATTTTATTTTATTTTATTGCATTTAAAACGGAGTCGTTTTTCGGCCTCAATAACATCTTATGCGGGTTGATTGAATTGCCCTTCATTTTGACTGATAGAGAGACTACAATTCCAGATGAGTGACATCGAACTCCTTATGGCATTATTGGTATAATGGAATGGAATTTAGTAGAAATGTAATGAGTCGAAGAATGGAATAATTATGAGAAAGGAATAAAACAAGTTTTGTCATTGATACATTTAGTATACAGGAGGAATAAGTCCGGAATGAAATTGAATTATCATCATATAATATCATTTATCACTATTTTATAGGAAAAAAATTAATATTTATATTAATGTTATTTTCTTATTTTTGATAATACTAATATTATTTTATTTTTAAAAAATATACTATATTTTAATAAATGTACTTTTGTATTGTTACAGCTATCTTATATAATAAATAAGTGAATTATGTATTTATATACATATTAACTAATACAAATATATCATTACATAAACCCCTATAAGCATATGTGGTCAAATATACTTTCTTATAATATAATTCAATTTATGAATAAATATATAATATATATTATTATATAAAATAAAATAAGATTTTTCTAAACTATTTGTAAATGCATTTATTATGAGTTTTATTTTTATACAAGTATCTAATATATCTAGTTAAAATATGAATATTAAATGAAAATAATTGTTTAATTTTTTATTTGAAATTTATTCTTTAAAATGATTTTTTTAATATAATTTAATAATGATAATATAGTACATATTATATATTTTTTTGTTATTATTACTTGTTAATTTTCTTTTTTAAAAATTTATTTCCTATACATATGGGAATGGAAAAAAACCATCCGTTAGCTATGGAATGACTAATCCCATATAGATGAGTTTTGCAATTCCCAATTGGAATGGTCATTCCCTTATAAAAAATATACCAATCATGAGAATAAGAATGAGTAAGGGAATGATCATTATATTCCCACGTCATTCACTCATACCAATCATGCCCTTAATTGTTGAAGAAAGGCCAATATTTGTCTCCAATCTCCAGCAAACACAAAGCCAAATCATGCGGCTTGGACATCATGACCATATGATCCGAACCCTCGATCACTTTTACATCATCTGGCCAGTTGTTCTCGATCAACCACCTCTGCATCTCAACATTCATCAGCTTGTCCTCATCACAAACAACGTATACACGAGGGATTGAACCGTAATTTTCCCTTGTTAGAGCAGTTTCTTCGGATGGGCGGTGAAAATCAACAAACAGAGGGGATGGCCTCATCAAGAGTGTCGCCAGAGTCAAATCCTGTTGCAGTAGTTTTGGTCCACCGAATGAAAGTTAAAACCAAAAACACAACACAAATTACCATCAGTATTACTGAACTTCTTTTTGTTCTTGCTTTTTTTTCCTTAATTTTTATCATAGTAGAACCAGCATAATACAAATTTTGATAATTATACATCAGTATTTACAATTGTCGAAAAGAGGTAATATAGAAAGGAAAAAAAAAAGGAATTTCTATTTTTATGAAGAAAAAGAAATTTGAGAAATGTTTACCTGTTGTAAATTGCAAGGATATATTAGTTATATGTAACCTTGAATCTTTTATCTAACCTCGGGCGGTGAAAGTTGATACATAGTTGATGCCAAGAATTTTGGGCCAAATCGGTAGGATGTTGGAGGTTTGTCCTTTCCTTGACAGTAAGCATACTCATTGTCCATGGGTGAACCCAATCTTCTGCCAAACTGTACATTATAAACTGAGTCAAAATCAATAAATATACCACTTTTCAAGTGAAAACATGTAGAAATTTGATTCGTGCTCTAATCAAATTATGCAGAATTAAATGGTACAACCAGCATCATAAAAATTATATATAAAAGCTGGAAACACAAGCTAGTTTTTTTCTCTAAGCAAATTTATATATAAAAAGTAAAAACTGTCCAAAAATGTTGAAGATTCTACAGTTTGTGTGTCCCCAAACAGATTAAACTCTAGTTTTCTTGTTTTGTCAGCATGTAAACACCTTTCTTTTTTTTTTTTTCCTTTCAACAGAAGGACACATGCCATCTTTCATTTTAAAAATAAGTAACAAAAATAAATAACCATAACAAAATCACACTACCATAAATTGTCAAATATTTAAGGCAAGTAAACTCTAGTAACAACAACATTATATTTAGAGGTGTTTGACAAATATTGTGAATAAGTATTAAGTACCTCTTTGGAGACAGTTGGGAGATCAAGATGAGGGCCGGGCATGGCTGCACTTACAAAAACTGCCACAACAATTTTTTGGGGAAATCTTTCCATGGCAATGGAAATGTCAATTCCACCCCTGCTATGTCCAACCAGTATCACTCTCTCATCATCATGTAGGGCCTCCATGAATAGCATTAAAGGGGCAATATAGTCCGTTATGGACACAATTTCGAATTCGACCGATTTGAGGTTTGTGCCACAGCCCGCCATATCGATTGCGCTGACTTTGTGAGATTTAGATTTAAGCAGTGTCGCTAGCTTGTACCAACACCATGCGCCATGACAATCTCCATGGACAAGGACAAAATGGTGATTATCATTCTTGTCCATTTTTTTTTATTTAATTTTACCTTTTTCTGCAAGTCACTTGATTATCAACTTCTGGCTGAAATAAGTAAAATCAAATATGTGTGTGTGTGAAGACTTATACCTCCATTCTACTTCATTTGATCTTGCTCTAGATTTGTGATTCTGCTTCTGATTACAATACATTAGCATCCACTACATGGAAACTTAATAATCTCCATTTCCTATTTACACAAACTTTTGATACTCAAAAACATGCCTAAAAAGTCACATGCTCCAAAAAGGAAGTGTTTCTAGGCATTCCAATTGACCAACTAAGCATTTTCAGAAAGAATTTTACACAGCTAGCATTGTATGTTCTCATTTTTTTAGTCTCAACAAGGAACAAATTAACAAATTTCATTCAGCAAAGCCAGAAAACATAGAAACAAAAATAAGATTAAGTTGCAAAAGGGAAAAGAAGTTCCAAGACACGGATAGTTACAGTGAGTATATTTTAAACCAGTGTTACTAAATGAATCAAACAATTTCAAATTTTAAAGTACCCTCTTAGTTAAGATATATGCCAAATACCCTTTTTACATATCTATTTTCTAAACAAATATCTTCTATCAAATTAAAATAGGTTTTGCAGATATGGAAATAAACTTAAAGATCATTTCAGATCTTGAAATATAGTTGTGTTTTTGTACTTCACTAAATCTTATTCATTTTCATTTTTATGATAGATAATAGAACCAGGTATATATCAAGTAACT